TAGAGGGCCCTTGACATATATGGCATGCCAAGTGTCTCATTAATGGGTAAAAGTGGCTATTAATGAGACACTTGGCATGCCATACCGAAACTCCTGGAGCAAACGTCAAATCAGCTGCATTTTACTGCACCGCCCAGGCGAAATGTAGTTGATTTGACCATTAAAGTGCATTTATTAAGAAAAAGTTCAACTGAGACACACATTTGCTATAATTTCGAGCAAAGAAATAATTGTTGTTGCATTAATCTTGTTAAACTCTTGTTAAAGTCCTCCCGTGCATGCTCCCACGGCTGCCTTTTGGTAGCCAATCAATTTTTTGCACAACACTGGCCCACATTTCTGGGTTGTCAGCAGTGACACATAATAGATGCAAATTATACCGTGAAGCGCCTCATTTATGTTTTTTCCCACTTTGACATTTTTGGACTGATGCGACTTATACAGTGGTGCGACGTGTACGGTACTTCACCAAATTGCAGCTCAGTATCTGTAAAAATTACCAAGTTCTAACTTTTTTTTTTTTGGTTGTTTTGCTAAGGTTAATTATCTGCAGGTGTTATCGATGTGACTCAACATTTTTTTTCCAAAGGGCCACATCAAGACGTTTTTAAAGCAACTAAAGGGTGGCATAGAGAATTGGAAAATACATTTTCGTCAAACAATCTAGAAGACCTTTTTATTATTGTAGCATAGTTAGCATGCTTTATAAAACAAGTCTTTCCAAAATCCTTTAGGAATATAAGACATTCTGTAAAGTGGCTCTTGTGACAATATTACAAGTTGCCTTAGCATGGCATACATTCTGGGTTTTTTTTTTTAGTTCCATGTTTTCATGTCTTGATATTAGTGTTTCATTTACTGTGTTGGTTTCTGCGTTTTCAGTTTATCAGCTATTCTTGTTTTCTGCTTTTAGTCTGAACTGGTATTTTTTAAGGTTTGGTGTTCATGTTCCCAGAAATCGTTTTCCCTCATAATGTCTTACCATCACAATCTCACGTGTCAGCGTTTGTGATCAACCCACCTGCTTCCACTCAATAATCACCCCTCCAAGCACATATCCTCCTTGTTTTCACCCAGCCTTTGTCAGATGTTGTGTAAAGCCCTGGTTTTATGTCCTGTCTTGCTTTTGGTTTCAGACATGTATTTTGTTGGTACATCAGCCTGTTTGGTTTTTGTTTATTCACTCCCTTTAAAATTATACCTGCTGCCTGCATTCTTGGGTCCACTAACCACAAATACCTAATGGTTAAAGTAATACAGCTTTTGTCAGAAATGAGTCTAGACCATAATTTGTGTTCTCATGGTTAGGAAAAATAGGTAACATTGTTCAAAATTACAGGAATAATTTCTCAACAAAATATGAAAAATGAGATTTCAGAGCAGCAGTGACAGTGGATAATTATGAATCCCGTCTGAGTCTGTGATATGTTGAGTTCTGCAGGAGGCGTCCTAACATTTGGGGTTTGTGTGTGACAAATGCGTAACATCTGCAGAGTTAACGAGGGGCAGCTTGCTCAAAGGTGATTGAGTGAGAACAGCATTCCATGTGCCGACACCACAGTCTGCTCCACCTGCATCTTGTTGGGGCAATGCAGATTGAGGCCAACCACTTTGAACCTGATTTTTTTTTTTTAATAAACTTGTAGCTAAATCAATATTTTATAAGAGTCGTTGTCTATAAAGCATAGCCGTACTTCATGTAGACAACCCACTTCACTCAGTTTACCTCAGCATTGTCATTAAGTGAACTTCCTGCCAAGTTCATGACATGAGGGTTGTAAAGGATATGCTTCATCTCAAGTCTGCTCTCACCCAGTCTTTTTCTCCTGCATCTAAAGGACAAGCCAATTGAGTCTTCACGTCCCGATGAAAATCCTGCATCACTCCAGTGGGCCCATCCTGACACTTTAATTGGAGAGGCATAAATCTGGCTCCATTGTGAAGGAGAGGGGTAATTATTTCCTCCTGTCTGAGACTCCAGTGATCCCTTCTTTCCTCCTCCTCCTCCTCCTTTGTTTTTCTCTATTTAATTAAAGATATGTTTTTACTAGGGCTGCACAATATTGGATTTTTGGCCAATATCCGATATGCCGTTATGTTAAAACTTATTTGGTCAATTCCGATATTTTTTTATATGCTTTCCTTTGTCAGAACATATCCCTCTTATTTGCTACAAAAAATGTGTAACAGCTGGTGACATATATTCATTAACGGCCATATGATATGCATAGCACTTTAGCTTATATTAAATAAAGTGTTAAATGTTTATTTATTAGCATTAGTCAGCTGTGATGCTGTCTCACTTGTGGAGGCTTGTTCCAGGTTCCTAGCTGCAGTGTGGGATCCTCTGCACTCTTGTGCATGAAGGACAGCCTTTTTAAGTTCAAAGTTTTTGTCTATTCATTGTGCTGTAAGATTAATCATGCTAACGGGGCTAACACGACGTCCACATTTTTTCATTTACCCTTTATTTATACAGGTATTCTCATTGAGTCACGAGAACTCATGTTCAAGAGAGACCTGATTAGGGAGCAGATGGTGGGGGTTAAGGGCCTTGCTCAGGGGCCTAGAGTGGGGCGAATGAGGGTGGAGGCAGGTGTGGGTGTTTCACCTTTTCCCCCCACATTTTGATGTTGACAGTACCGGGAGTTGAACCTGCGACTTTCCGATCACAGGCCCATCTTCTAACCTCTGCGCCACCACTCCCCACTTCTCAATGATGTTGGAAATGACGACTTGTAACCTGGGTAAGCCTAAGTCTGGAAAAATATCTCAGACTGGGGACAATGCAGCAAGACTTAGCGTAGTCCAAAAATCTTCGGAATCCGACATCCCCAACGAAAAAAAATAACCTTGAACACCGCGGACATTTTGACTTCTTCCTCTCCGCCGTGATCAGATCAAGTAAGCACACGTGACGTTATAATGTTGAGATGGCGCTGCAGGCATCCTTGTCAGTGGGTTGTCATACAAAAACAGCACCTTTTACATGTATATCGGTGAGTTATTTTGATGGAATGGCCGATGTCCGATATTTAGCTTTAACGCTAATATCAACCGATACCGATACCATGCCGATAATATCGTGCATTACTAATTTTCACGTTTTTTTAATCTTTTTTATTTTCGCCGCAAAACATGCATTTTTTTTCTCTCTAAAAGTTAAACTGGGTCGGTGTAAAATACCTAAAATCTTGACTCGCATCTGAAGTATAGCAGTGACACTCAGGAAAAACAAAATGCAAGCAAGGCTTTAACGGAACTTCGTGTCAAAGGCGCATTGCAAATGGCTCAAAGTAAAATAAACTGCAGCATTTCATCTGTGCAGCCAAGTCTTTTTAGGCTCCTGACTTCTCTGGTTTGTAATTGAGCTGAAGCTGCAAAATCTGTATTTAAATAAGAATTAATGCAGACACAGGTTTGGCACAGTTTAGTCTCACAGTGCGGCATTTCTGGTTTCTTGTGCTGAGCAAGGTTTCCTCAGTGAACTAACTGAAAGCAATTATATGTTGACTGTAAAGTTGTTTTTGTTCCCCCCCACATTTTCAAATGGCTGAACTTGATATTTCCTCGACAAGCTGACTTTCCATGCTGTTGGTTTCAACATTGCATATCCTGTGATGACCACAACAAATGAAGAATTCAATCCAAAGTACTTTATTAATCCTTAAGGTAAATTAAATGTTGTGGCTCATCATCCTGGTTTCATTGAGTTGTTGTAGATGCTGATGGCTGTGGGCAGGAAGGATACGCAGCAGTCTGTACCACAGCGGACCTGAAGAAAATGGCTGCAGATGCCGATCCGTCCACCTGGACCCAGTGGGCCTCTTGGTCCTCCTTGGCAGCAGGATCACCTGAATGTTTGGCAGAACTCCTCCCATGAGCGATGGCCACTCCTCTGAGCAGCTTGTTGAGCTCCTCCTCATTGCAGACAGCCAGCTGCAGGCGTCAGGGGTCGACCCAGGTCTTCTTGTTGTTGTGAGTCACGTTTCCTGCTAGCTCCAGGATCTCAGCAGTCACTCAAGCACCTCTGCCAGGTAGACGGCGATGCATCCACGGCGCCTCCTTTACAACTCATTTGAGATTTGGGGCTGTATTTATGGTAATATTTGAGCTTTGAGATGTTACTCAGCTGCTCCCAGTTGTAAAAAAAAAAACCACCTTGTTGTCATGGTTACACATCATAACAAATGTTCAAACATAAAAAGGTTTCAGTAAAAAGCCTCCCAGTTGCACAGCATCAGATACCAGAGGAAGTAATCATCCCAAAAATCATGTCAAATGCATTTCAGTGATTTTCATTTTTATTTTTAATTTTATTGTTTTTGTTACTAAAAGAGGTGAGATAAAGTAGAAGCACCTATTTCCAGGTTGTTAAACAACAAGATCATGTATAAAACTAGAAAAAAAGACAAACGGAACAATATAAGGGAAAAAAACGTGGTTAAAATGTGAATAATAGAAAGCCAAAATTAGAAAAAATAATGATGCAATCTAAGACCAAAAAACCAGAACAAAGCCCAACTGTTGTAACATTTTTTTTTAAATATATACGTTTGTAAAATATCTGACTTTCTTCACAATAAGATGCACAAATGGAACATTTTCAGTGTGGGCGTTTGATTCCTCCACAGATTAAAAGCAGTGCAAGTGATGAACGTGTCTGACCTTTAGTGCTTCACTCTCAGTGCATGAGGCGAGTGGGTGGGGGGTGGGGGGGTCATCCACCCCTGTGATGTTTTGTTAAAGTGATCTGTTTGTTGTCTAGTTAACTGGGAGGATAGTGGAGGAGGAGGAGGAGGGGGACTGGAGTGTAACAGGACACTGCCTCCCTCTCTCTCCTCATTCTCCTCCCTCTCTCCTCTCCTCTCCTCCGTCCCGGGCTCTCTCTCAGTCAAACCTGCTCTCCGAGTGCTTCGATGGAATTCTTTGGAGTCACTGGAGGAGGCTGGAGACGAGGCGCTTCTACGGGATAGAGTCCAGGTCTGGTTTGGTGGATCTGCCTTCTTCAGCTGATCCTGGTCCTGGACGGTGAGTTGGGCTCTCCTGACCCAGTCTGAGGGCTGGACTTTCTTTTAGTGGATGCAGACAGAAGTTAGTGGGCAGAGGGCAAACAGGTGCAAAGTTTTACACTTTATCGCCTCACATGGATTATTTTGGATTAATCTCATGATTTTGCAGAATGACTTGTCACAGTTAGCCATAAAAGTAGAAGATGGGACATTAAAAAACTATTAACAGAAGCACTTTGAGTATATTTTAGTGATCTTACAATATTTCTAATTATTGTCTAATAAGAAAAAAGAACATTTCGATTACTGGATGCAAACGCTGCCTTTAAACCATGATGATTTATAGATGAAATGTCTAATTTTAGTTGTTTTTAACAGAACCACTGACAGCTGACTGACAGTGTGAACACATGCTGCTCTGTCAGAGCTGGGACACCCAGCAACTTGTTTACTGCTGAAAATGGAAGTCTTCCTCTGCATTTTGGGACATAAGCAAAACATTCATATCCCAAATGGGAGACCCAGTTCCATAAATTTCATGTTGCTGAGTTGTAAGTTGTGTTCAACGTGTTTAAAGCATTAAGCCGAAAGCCTACAAACAGATATGAAGCGGCGGACGGGGAGGCATTTTGCTCGTGCAGCTCGACAGTTTTCCACATTTGTCAATTTTACTTTATAAGCAGCGCCTTTGGAAACGATAAAATGGGAAATTAATTAGGCTCCGGGCCAAGGAGCGCACATAATAAACACAATTACCGTGACTGAAAATGTGACTCTCCACTGCACTGACCTCCTTTTGTGCACGGACGTTTAATTGATGCTGAAGAGATTCCTGGCAAACTCAGCCCTGGAATTTCTGGGCCTAGCAAAATTAATTGGCGTATTTATTATTTTTGCTCTAAAACTTATGCACCATACCTTTCGTGCAGGGGGGGGGTTACTGCAGCGCTTCAGGGAAATTAGTGTCAGAGAGCTCGTTCATGACTTTTTTTGTTTTGTTTGTTAACATGTGGCAAAGCAAAGTGTCTAAACGTGACCTCATGAAATGTCACAGAACGCTCTGGAGATGAACTCCTCCATGATGAGTTCAGCAGCTGTGAGAGCAGCCGCTCTCTTCCCCAGAGATGAGTCGTTCTGAACAAGCGGGGAGTGGTGCAAGGGCTCACTTTACATCAAAGTTTATGAAATGTTTTTGTCTGTTGCACATCTGCACGATGCAATCACAAAAGTGATGTTTAAGTAATCAAACCTGAAATATGTATTGTTCTGGTGCTGCTGATGTTCTATTTAAACACTTTCATCATGTTTTTAATTAGGAAAAGGTTTTATAGTGATCATTCAGACTTTTAAAAATGTGGTTCTGTAGAATGTGTATAAACAATAAATATCTTACCTGTTGATGCCTAATGGAGTTTAATTCTGACAAGAATGGCAAACTAATGGCTGGTCTGAGAAATGCAAGGACCATAATGTGTTTCTGCCATCTTTAATATTAATTTAAAAATCATATATGCAAAGAATATTTTATAGACATTTACATTGCCATCGTTTTGCATTACAGTAGTATTTATCACAGAGGATCCGTACCATGAAGACCCGCGATAAGTGAAAAACTGCAAAGTAAGAATAATACTGTAGTACAAGTAGTAAGTCGTAGTATATTTTATTATTTATAAAGGCGTTTTAAACCCTTCTCTACTCTTGCAATATTCTAAACGATGTTTCTAAACTCTAAATGTGCTAAAATAGCACAGTATGTCATGATTTCCGCTCTCTGTCTCAGCTGCACTCTTGGCCACGCCCACTTCTCTGCTCTGCAGAGATCAGCTGATCAGCTGCAGGAGGTAAGTTTCTCCCACGGCTGTGGGCTGCACACAGGTGCTAACTCATTTAAAATAATTTATTTTAAATTTTAAAAATCCATGCCAATGATGCTCATCCATCAGTCAGCCATTGTGTGTCATGTCCAAGCTTACTTTGAAAAACCGTGACAGAGTGAGTCCGCGAAAAACGAACCACGAAGTAGCGAGGACCTACTGTACTTAGTTATTTACATAGAAATCTATGGTTAATAGCAAAAGCAAATAGCATCAGCAGCTCTTTTGGTTCACTCTCGGGAATTTCCTGCAGGACAATTATAACATTTCTTCAGTAACGGAGAGAAATAAACTGCACAATAAAAGTTTATCAAAGATATCATTCACTTGCAGCTGTATGAAATTTTAAGATGGCAGAACTCCACTTTGGCGTTTGCCCCGTTCAGACTAGTCATTAGTCAATTTAATCAGACTTTACCTTAACTCGGTTTGAAAAAGTACTTTAGAAGTCATGTACAACAGGTAAGATGCTGCCTTTCTTCACATTTCCACTTCAGAAGTTCAGAGTTATCACTTTTTGTAACATGATCACATTTGGAAACCTTAAAAAGTTTTATTTATTTCAGAGAAAACAAATTTGAGATGTTAAACGTGCAGTTTTTTTGGTCAGTACTCAAAAAATTGTCTTGAAAGTTGCATTTTGTGAAACCTTTATACCTAAAACATCTTTCAACGCCTTGTTTTTATGTTAATTAAGGCAGAAATCTCTTCATTGTCTTTAGCCTTGGTGGCAATGTGTGTGCGTGCGTGTGTGTGTGTGTGTGTGTGTTATGGGTCTTATTGCAGCAGCACTAAGGGTCTGCAGTGCACCAGTCTGAATATACCCGTGGTGCTCCATTACTTTAAAGTGCAGCCAAGAAGATCTCATTCCTCTGCTGTTGTCCACGTAAACCTGAACAGTCAAACTCCAGCTCAGCTGTCAATCAGCTGCTCTACACTACCACACAAATATATATTTTTTTGTATACCACTCTCCACTCTGAAAATTTTATAGCTTTTATATCTCTAGTCATTAATTTTTTACTGCACATCCAAAAGCCATGAGGTCACAGAATCAGCCTCCTGGTTTTTTTTATTTATTTATTTATTTTTTTTTTTTGCATGCACAACGTTCACTCGCGCTCTGTGGTTTTCTGCAGCACAGGTGATGCATCAGCCTGTTTCCGTGGTTTCTCCTGCCGGAGAGCTCTGCACAGCGGGGGTTATCACAGCGCCGCACCTGGACCTATCAATAATAGAGGTGCTCTCGTCATGTTAGGGACGAAAAGGAACAAGAGGCTGAAGGAGTACATCTCCAACACTTTGTTTGTGCAGATTTACCTCATTCATATTTAAAGTGCAACATCTGCAAGGAGGCTGTCAGTGCTATGAGTCGTGTTCTAATCTGGGTTCTTATTGTCTTTGCAACTCTTTCCATCATGAAACAGCATGACTGGATGTGTATGTCTATAAATACTTGTTTTAGTAGTGACAGCTCTTTAAATGTTCATAATTTTACTTTTTGGCAATAATACTCTAAATACTGATTTGACATGTTGGTTCTGATTTTCTCAGTGAAACCCCGCCGGCAGGTAGAGCTGGTTCCGGTTCCTGAGTGGTGACGGTATGGTCAGGCCGGGGGGGTCGGCCAGGCCGCCTCTGGTGTTGGCGATGGGGTTTTCCCACCTGGCATTCATGTTCCTCTGCAGCAGGGTCTCCAGCTTACTTCAGCCTGTACCAAGAGTCCTCCTTTCTTTTGAAGGTAAGGAAAAAAACAAATGCCCGACAGATCTGTGTTGATCTATAGGATAATGAAGTTGCTCTCATCTCGTATTAATAGGTTTACTTTCTTCTTTTGTAATTTTTCATTTTGCAACTTTATCCTCACTGCCACAAACTCTAGACCAGGGTTTTTCAAAGTGGGGGGGCCACTGCCCCCCAGGGGGCCACCAGGGGGTGCTAGGGGGCCCAGAAAGCTGGAGAGAAGAAGTTTTAAAAAAGGCAAAAATAAAAAATAATAATAATAATAATAATAATTGCCCACTAGGGCAATCTGTATCTGTCATTTCCAGATAAAGTTGCTTGAGAGAGAGGTTAGATTTCTTTTTTCTTCTTCTTCTGGTCAACATTTTGTTGACATGTTGTTTTTTTTCAGTGGGAATATACCGTTTTTTTCGGCGTACAAGTTGCAGTTTTTTTAGCATAGATTTGTCAGTCCTGCGACTTATATACTTTTTTTCCCATAATCATAACGCGATTTTTTTACTGACACTTTAAATTTCGAAGAACTGCAACAGTGAGTGCTCCCGTGCACGCTCACTTCACTCAGCTGGTGCAGGCGGAGGAACACTGGACGGCTTGCGGCTCTGGCCATGATGGATGGATGGATGGATGGATGGATGGATGGATGGCACCGCGCCGCCCAGGCAGAATGAAGCTGTTTTGACCATTAAATAAACACATAATAAACGCAACAGGTCAGCGGTGATGCATAATAAATGCAACTTATATATATATATGTTTTTTTCCTCTTCATGATGCTTTTTTTTTTTTTGACTGGTGTGACTTATATGCCGGAAATATGGTAATACAGTGTTTAAAACATGTTAGTTAATAACATGTTTATGCTCAGCAGCTGTAATAATTGAATATAGTGAATAAAAGTTAAAACATTCTAAAAGTTGATGTTTCTTTACATATTTTGTAGCATTGTTCGTGGGTTTACGAGGAGGGGGCTCTGCCAGAGGCTAGTGTTGTTTGTGGGGGCCATGGCATGGAAAAGTTTGGGATCCCCTGCTCTAGACCATCCTCGTCCTTCCTTGGTCCTGCTGTGTAACAGACTGCAGGAAATGGCACTGCCTTTAGGAACCACCCTGAATCTGTTCCTCGTTAAGCTTTAATCACACCCCTCTGCTCTGCGGCATACCTCAGGGTATTGTTGCTGCCTCTGGTTTTAAAGCTCCTGTTTTATTTAAATTAAAAACAAGAATATTTAATGAATTTTTGATGCTCCCTTGAAATAAGAGCATACGGGAGTTTTGCGAGAAGAGTTCATGTGACATGAGTAGTGTGTGACCTTTTTGTCCAGACTTGTGCAAAGGTCGAAGGAGGCGTTTGATCACCTTTCACCTCTTGCTGTGGATGAAGCAGCTCGGAGCAGCTGAGGCTGTCCGTCATTCTGCTTTCAGTTTGTAAGACGTTGCAGTCTACAGCTAAAGCATTTTCTTTCTCGTTTTCATTTTCTTCTTTTTGCTTTGTGGCATCATGTTTTTCTGGTTATTTCATTCCAAATATAAGCCAGCTTTCAGGTTGTCTGCTCTACAGCCTCTCTTGGCTGCTGGATATCACAGCCATCTTGGGGAAACAATAAATCCAAAACAAACACACAAAAAAAAAAAAAAACCTGTGTGCCAGCGTAGAATAAATTTTAATTAATTATATTTTCTGTAAAATGGAGATTTGGCAAAAATTAAAGCATTTGTGCTTTGGAAGCTAATAACCCCAATGGAGGTAAAGTTTTCTGACAACAATGTGAATTTAAATATTTTAGCACACTTTGAAAAATTGACAGTAACTTCAAAATTTCTCTTTTATATTTAAAGCAGCTAATATTTCAGTGTTGATTGTTGAATTTACATGTTGTACTTGAATGCACTGTTAGCTCATTGCACTGTCTACACGTGTTGCCACAAAAATGTGTGTAGAACTGCAACAATTCAGTAGCTCAGATTGCTTGGATGCTTATTTTATCCAAGCTGAAGGCCCAGACTAATACTTATGGTTTACCACTGCTAGACAGTGAGTTTGGCTTCCTAAAATAATTTTTGTTGGTGATGCTAATAGCCTGTTAGTGCCAGACTCAACTTAGACTAACCCAACTTCAGTAATTATGTTCAATTAAATTAAATTAAATTCACTTTTTTTATATAGTGCCACAAGTCACAACAGAAGTCATCTCAGGGAACTGAACAGACACACACACACACACATATATATATATATATATATATATATATATATATATATATATATAGCTAGCAAGTAGGACACAATGTATTAAATATGATAATTTATGTTCTGAAGTTGTAACCATTCATAAGGGGTACCACAGGGTTCTATATTAGGTCCTCTTCTATTTGTAATTTAAATAAAGTAATTGGGACAGAATGTGTCTGATGCTAATTTGCACTTTTATGCAGATGACACATTTATTTATTGCATTAGATCCACTCCTACTCAGGCTATTGAACCATTGCATGTTGTATTTGTCAATGCCTCTTGGCCAGGTCTCCCTTGAAAAAGAGGTTTTTAATCTCAATGGGTATTTTATCCTGGTAAAATAAAGGTAAAATTAAAAAATGAATTTAAAAAAGTTAATATATCTGAGGAGCAGACTGCTTTGCGTTTAACTTCATGGCAGAATCTCATCTTGAGCAAGCATGAAGGTGGCAGTGAGACGGAAACCTCCAACAGAACCAGGCTCAGGACAATCGGCCATCTGCTTCAACCGGCTGGGTTTCAGAGGAACAGATACACAATGGCAGGTCAAGAATCGCATGTTAAGATGGAAATAATATCAAATGAAAACTATTTAATTGTAAAAATTCATTTTAAGAAATGAGGTCAATTTGTCCTCTAGTAGTCTAAGCCTATGGCAGCATAACAAGCTGACCCTAACTAAAGGATTTATCAAAAAAGGAAAGTCTTAAGCCCAGACTTAAAACTGAACAATTTGTCAGCCTTACAGACAGAAACTCGAAGTTGGTTCCACAAGAGAGGAGCCTGATAACTGAAAGATCTTCCGCCTATTCTGCTTTTGGAAACTCTATGAACCACAAGTAAACCTGCAGTCTGAGAGCTAAGTGCTCTGTTAGGAAAATATGGAACAATAAGATCTAAAAAAGTTAAGTCAGGTCCTCTGGACAGGTTCAAAAAAACAAAAACAAAATTGTAGCATGCATCAGGAAACAATAAGATCTCCAATATAAGATGGAGCTAGGTTGTTGAGGGCTTTGTAGGTTAGAAGTAAGATTTTGAATTAAATTCTGAATTTGACAGGGATCCACTGGAGAGAAGCTAAAATCGTTTCCACAAATGAGTCATTTTAAGCAAATTTTTGGATAGAAAACTTAACCCTGGGTCAAACTGATACTCCAACCCTGCTGAGTTAAAACACCTCAGATTTAGCACGGTCCAAATTTGACCCAGATGTAAGATATAAATTGGGTGTTTATCAGTTTGTAGTGTGTAAATGTGTCTATTTACAGTCGGGGGAGTTCACAAGAAAAAAGCAGCAGAAAACACATTTAAGATATGTATTTAATTTATTTACTTGTTTAATTTTTAAGCGTTTAAAGCCAACATCAGGTGTGCATTTACATTCCAGCTTTGATTTAGCACATCGGTGAGTGACGAGGGCTTTGTTTGTGAGTCAGAAATCATCGTAAAACTTGGGAAAAAATAAAATTTGGGCTTGGCTGAGTAACAGATGCAGCTCTCGGGGTCCAGAGGGGAGGTTTGGTTCTTATACGAATACTGGAAGTGTTGGCCAAGGGAGGAATTCCATGAGTCTGAGCAGCCGGAGAGAAGAATGAGAATGCAGGCGACTGGGAAAGGGGTGGAAAATCGTGCAGGTGGGTTGGCACCTGCTGAGGGTCGACAAAGGTCAGTGGATTCCTTCAGTTCCAGATGTGTCGAGGTATTTGAGCTGGATCAAACTAATCTAAGAAAATAAACCTGAGCTGCTGTACAACACAGATTTAAATATTCTCCTGTCACTGCTAAAACCCAATCCAGGGGAAAAGGCAAGTTCATGAGACTCCTGACGTAGCTCCACATCCTGCAAAGAAACTCTCCGACATTCTGCTTTTCCTTAAATCTGCTTGCTTACAACAGCCAAATTAAGCCAGACCACAACTAAAAGTTTGTAATAAACAGTGCAAAAGGCAGCAAACCCAAACAATAAACCCTCCAGTGGTGCTGGGACTCATATAATATGGCTGTTTCTGACTGTAAACCTTTTTTAAGGAACTTCTAAAGTGATAAAAGATAATGACCCCTCTTCACACTATAAACGTCTCTCGTTTCTCATTTATTCAGGAATGTTTTGTGGCAGTTTTTTTTTTTTTTCGTTGTTGGGAAAAAGTCTGAAACGTCCTCAATATTCATAACTCAAGTGAGTCATTTGCAGTTTTGTAAATAAGTAATGTTTTTGGATCGTTTGCCATTTTGTTGGAAAAAATTTGATTGGGTCACATTAAAGTGAAAGTGATCACAAAATAAAACAAAAAAACTCACAATTCAGATTAAATTTCACATTTAAAAATGCCTTTAAGCTTTTCAATTATTATATATTTTTTTTTACTTGTGGTGTTCAGTTATGGGATAAAGAAAGTATATCCTCTTTTTTTATTTTAGGGTCTTATGCATCAGGACATTAATATAAAATATTTTTTTAATCTATGAAGTGAACAGAAACAGCTAATTCCACCATGTTATCAAATGTAGCGCCCGTACCACTTAGCCAAAGAGCTAACACATAGGATAGATTGAAATTGTAGTACATTGCTCGGGACCCTGGGAACGTCACTCCAAAGATAACTGCACTAACTGCTTACAGGAGATACAACTTACTGTTTACATCCAATCCAATAGCGGTGCCTCCACCTAGCAGGAAACCATGAATTAAAGCCTTGTTTGACCCACTAAGAATTTAATTCCGATAACTGTATGTGTATATTAAATACACTCCCTTGGAAAACA